TGGAAAATGCTATTAGTGAACTATTTCTATATAAATTTGCAATAAACAGAGTATAACATTCAAATTATTACATAATAATAATACACAAATCAATTAAATATGAAATTCATATACCAAATACATAAACCAAAATATCAGATTGTTCAAGTTGTTATAAGATTACACATTAATTAAATCTAATCTTATTTGGTTTGCATTATTGTATTTGAAAATTTTAATTTCTTTAAATTTTATGCTTTTAGATTTATGGAGGGATGAGAGGGATGAAAGGTTTGGTTACAGAAACTTCACATCTTGATCCAGAAGAAGGCATAAGGTTTCGTAATTATTCTATTCCTGAAATTAGAAACTTACTTCCAAAAGCTCCAGGTGGTGAAGAACCATTACCTGAAGGATTATATTGGTTATTACTTACAGGAGACATTCCTACTCCAGAACAGGTATAAAAATAAGTTTGAAATGTTGTTTTTAAAGTAAAATTATATATATATAATTTTATATTAAAAACAAAATAAAATAAAATGAATTTTATACAAATGTTTTATTGTATTAAGAAAAAATCTTGTTACAGGGGGATTACAATAAAAGTTACATACAAAAAAAGTTAGTACATTTTCATACTTTATCAAATATCTGTTATCATAATAAAAAACCCAAAGTTCATAACACATAAATTTCTCAATTCACAACATCTTGTTTTAACATTTTTAAAATATAAACAAAAAAATTTTGAATATTATACATTTTATTTAAAGTAATTTCATTTAAGCTAGATCTAAAATTTTCTTCGTGTTTTAAATTAAAAATCTCTTTTATTTTATATTTATATTGCGCTTCTAGGATCTTTGGACATTCGGTAAAAATATGGTAAATATTAAAGATTTCGGATTTACACCAATAGCATTTTTTGGAAAAATCAATATAATAATTGTCTATCAGTAAAGATTTATAATTAAGTCGAATCTGTATCAACGTTCTTTTAATATTTAAATTGATATTTGTCATAATAATATTCGATTTTGATGGAAAATATAATATATTCTTATACCAATAGTGGTATGTTGAGTTTAAAATAGCATCTTGGTCCTTGACAATAGATTGAGATAAGGCCGATTCCATCATTAAAGTATAAGCATATTTGCAATTATCTTCTGATGAGTTAAGCAACATTACTGATATTCCATAAGCTTGTATTATTTTAATAAATTTCTGATACCAGGAGACATTATTAATTGATTTACCTTCATTTTGATTGGTTGTTAATTGAAATAGAAATTTTATGTTGTCGTCTTCAGTATTTAATATTCGAAGATAAAATTTAAATAAACGTTTCAAAAAAAATGGAAAAAGTTGGTAACGATTTGACTCTGATCTGA